AATAAGACGCCTGCGGGCCTGGTAATTGCCGAACGGCAACAACAAAAAATAAACCTTTTCCAATTTTTATAAACCTTTTCCAATTTTTAATAAACTTTGTATAACTAATTCTTCGAATAAATTATTATTTATTTCGACTTCTTATTTTATTATAAGACAACAATTTGCCATAGTGCAACCACTTTATTTAACCTTCGGTTAACAATTTTATTTTAATCTTTAGTAAAAATTTTTCATATAAGATTTTAAAAATTTAAACAAATTTTTTGGGTCTTTAAAGAGACAGGTACTCTTCATCACACTAGATTCAACAATTCCACTATTTGTTAGAAAAATAGTTTGGAATCAGAACAAGCTGTCGAAAGAGACCTACCAGAAAAGTCCATAAATTTCTTTAGATTTGTTGGGAAATCTTAAAAAGAAATCTTTTTATTTGGTTTAAAAGATTGGAAATAAACCCCCGAGTTTGTTAGAAAACTCGAAGAAAAATTAAATTTGGTGGAAAAATGACGGCCCCCACAATCACTCAGCTAGAAATGTTAGCTGACAGCGTGAAAATTTATTTAAACAGACAAATACCTTCTGCGTTAGGGCAGACAGCAACCCCTAACCAGTTAAGAAGACAGTTATATTACACAAACGACACTTTGGACAGGTTAGAAGAAACCCTGCAAAAATTTCAAGAAATTAGCGAAAGGGCAGCTAATGAAATCTCGAAAATGACTCAAGCTCAAAGGGAGCAACGAGAAGCAATATGGCAAGCCACTAAAGGAGAATTAGGCGTTAGAGCCTTACAAGAAGCAGGAAAATTAAAATTTGAAGAGTGGAAAAATAAAAAATTAGATCTATGTCAAAGATTAGATCTACAAATGAACATGGATGAATCAACTAGCGAAATTTCTGAAGCCAACAGAAATACCCCAGCTCCTGCATTTAATCAGAAACTACAAAGACCCCATATAAAATTAAGAAGATTTAATGGGAATATAGAAGAATGGTGCAGTTTTTGGGAGACTTATAGAGTTCTTATCCACGAAGACTCTACCCTTAGTCACGTCGAAAAATTTAATGTTTTAGACTCGATTTTAGAAGGAGAAGCAAAAGACCTGTTAGGAGGTCTCCAGATGACACACGAAGGATACGACACTGCCATCGACTTACTATTAGAAAAATTTGGTAGTGAAAGAAAATTAGTCAGGTCCCTAAACCATGAACTACTTAACTTACCCCAAAGTGAGGACTTTGAGGATGATGAAAAGCTCTATCTACGTATCGAAAAGCTTTGTCGACAACTTCAATCCCTGAAACAAAATGTGGACACAGCTCCTTACTTCATGACCTTAGAAGGAAAAATATCGTCAGAAGTATTGGACAAGTATTTCACAATTAAAGATAAAGAGGATCATGAAGATTGGAATACCGCAAAGTTCCGAAACGCGTTAGGGCGTGCTTTAGCTCAAATTAGAAATAGAATGGAGGTGAAACAAACCCCCAAAAATGTCGTTAGGGACAAATATAATGAAGCTACAATGAATTTTGCCGTAAATTACTCGGACAGAAGCTCCAGTAAATATTTCTCACCAAGAGTCGAAAGACCTAGAGTTAGAGAAGGAAGAGATTTTAATTTAAGGCAAGAATCCACTAGGCAGAAGCAAAATTACGGGTCAGGAAATCCCGTTAGTAATCAAAGGTCTCAAACTCCCAGAAGGTCAAGACAAGAGCAAAGAGAAGGAACCTCGGATCGAAATCGTAATTCGAATAGTCCAGAAAGTCAGAGCCCTTCTCGATTTCCCTGTCAATTCTGTGATGAGCCCCACACCCCTTTGAATTGCAGCAGTGTTAGGACTGCCGAAAAGCGAAAAAACAAAGCGGTGGAAAGAAGCTTATGTTTTAAATGCCTTAGAAAAAGACACTACGCTAATGAATGTCCTAATCCTCGACGTAGCTGTTTATTCTGTGGGAAGACAGATCACCATGCAGCTTTATGTAAGCGGGAGTTTAAAGAGGATTCACAAGAAAGAATAACAACAGGCGTTAGTGCCAGTACTATTCAAAAAGAAATATCCACGCAAATTGTAGGTGGAATTCTAAATAGAAAAGAAGAGGATAAAATTATTAGCGCGAATTCTTGTTTGGCTGGACCAAGCAACAAGATGTCTTTTCTTAAAATGACGTATGCCTATATTTACAACCCACTCTGCCCAGAATTCAATAGGAAAGTATTAGTATTTCTGGACGATGGAAGTCAAAATTCATACATCGATGAGAATCTAGCTAAAGAATTACGGTTGTATGAATTAGAAACGAAGAAATATAATCTTTTAGGCATAAACCAGACCAAAATTGGTAATTATGAAAAACCAGTTGTAGAATTTGGCGTTAGGGCCAACAAATTCGACATGCTTCTAAAGGCCGGAACATTGGAAACGATTTTTAATAAAGTTCCTATCCTCGACCGCAGTGAAATTACCGATGAGCAACTAATGAAAACTAAGTTGAACACCCAGATTAAATGGGGTAGACCTATGGTTCTCATCGGAAACGACTATTATAACTTTTTTGAAGTACGGCCAAAACAAAAATTCCAATCTGGCCTATGGATTAGTAAATCTGTTTTAGGCGAAATAATAAATGGTATGGGAAAAGTAAACCTTTTTAGCCCTACACCAAATGAAACCTTTACTTTGGTTGGAAAAATTCCCAAAGACATAAATTTAAATGGTTCAATTCAAAAGGCATGCGTGCTTGTAAATAAGAACCAAGAGAAAAGAGAGCCAATGACCGAATTAGAACCTCAAGAAACTCAACCCGAAAATTCCATTGTCAATGCTTACCCAATATTAAAGCGAGTTGGATCGCAAAATAAAGGGTTTGCTGAAATAATTTTGAAGGAAAGGCCAGAAACTAAATTAGAGAGAGTAAAAAGAAGCTTCATAGCCTATCCTAAAATATTAAAAAGGAGTATAAATACCACTCAAGGGGATGAAACTAGTGGTAAGGTTAAAGTATTAACTAAAAGTGTTAATAAAGAAATTCCGGTTAGACGGAAATTAAGTAAAGATTTTAGCACCAACATGGATAAGCGCGTTAGAGCGCAACAAAGAATGGAGAATTCTAAAAAGCCGTTGGAGGCTACTTCCCCGCTTCTATTTATTTGTAACGAGAGAGCGTTAGAGCTCCGAAATGTTTTAAGAAAAGAAAATTTGAGAGGTTTGGTGTTTGAACCATCCTCGTGGGACTCCCAAATGTTCCGTAAACAAATCTCAATAACAGAGAAAGTAGACACTATAGTTTTATGGAAAGAAACTATTGACCAAGGACTGTTGGAAGTTCTTAAAATAGCAAACACCATTAAAGTTGTGAGAAAAATTATTTGGATTGTGCCGTTAGACGGCATAGAAATTCCTAGTTTAAAAAATCTCACGATTGTGCCCGAACCTAAACAGCCCCATTCAATATTAATTAAATTGGCTAACATTGGGACACCTCTAATTACCAGGGGCATAAAGGAAACCCACTTGAAGAAAGGGAAACATTCCAGTGAAACAATGGTCTTGGAAACCCGAATGAAAAAACACCCGTTAGGGGGTGAAAATAAAATTCGTAACCTTTATAGTGAATCCCATTCACTTCCACGTCAGAGTAATCCGAACAGCTACCAGTTAGATGGTGCTATAAAAAATAAATGCTACCGAGAATTTTATCCCACCGGACATTATAACCCAATAGAAAATTATATGGGCCCAAAAGAAAAACAATGCTCGTTAGGGAGTTTAAAATATTCATTCGCCTCCCGAACATTTTATCCAAGTAGATACAAATCAAAAGAATTGTCCTTGAATCCTCAAAATGTCAGAAAGATTCCAGAGATATTGACCAACCAAGACAAAATATTTGGCGTTAGAGCCAACAACCTTATAGGAAACAATATGGATGGATCAAGAAGTGCTAATGGATTGTTCAGTTGCATGTATCAAACGCAATATGGAGCATTGAGAACGCCGATGCCAGGAAATCAATTTGTCGAAGAAAATGAAAGAAGATGAAAAAAGAAAAATGATTATAATATATATTGAAAATTTTTCTAATTTCAAATTTAATTGTATCTGATTTCTTAGGCAAGGTACCCAGCCGTTAGGGGCTAATTTGACCCACAATGGAAAATTAAATATGGCCGTTAGTGGCCCAGGAAAATTAAATAAGGCCGTAAGTATATACCCAGTCCTTGATTTTGAGGGAAAATAATAATTTCTTATTCAAAAGAGACTTAACCCCGAAAAAATAAATAAAGGAAACACGAACTTCATAAATGTCGTGACCTTGTGCCATAACCTGGATATAGATATCAAAGGGGGCACAATGCACGAACTAAAATTGAAGTACCAAATATTTCTTAAAAGAATGCACATTCCCACTTCTTAAAGAAACGTGGAAGATGTCAAAGTTGGGTTTTGTTAGAAAAACCCTAGACATTAATTTTAAGCACCTTCTCTAAAAAATGGGGAGGATGTCAAAGTTGGGTTTTTGTTAGTAAAAACCCGGACATCAATCTTAAACTCGTTCTTTAAAAAAGGGGGAGGATGTCGAAGTTGGCTTTTATTATTAAAAAGTCTAAATCCCGGTGACTCAGCCCTATTATTATTTTATAATTTTATTTCCATTTCTTTGGACTTCGATCCTTTTCCTTATACACTTCTCATGAGAAAAGAGATAAAATCGCCGTTAGGGGCGAAGAATAGCTTAAGTGCGTCCCCATATAAATATCGCTTTTAAATAGTTATTAAGCGGTTTTTTGCCCAGTCAGTTAAGATAGCGGCTTATTCCCAGTCAGTGTTTTAACAGTTAGTTGTTAATCACTCTTTCTTTATTATTACATAAAATTGTATATTTTATTGTATTGTTATTTCACCACTTTAATTTACCTTCGGTTCGGAGAATAAATTATTTTGGAATTGGAAAATATTTGGAAATCTTATTGGTAAATAAGACGCCTGCGGGCCCGGTAATTGCCAAACGGCAACAACAAAAAATAAACCTTTTCCATTTTTGAAAACAGGACAATGTATTTAAAAAACCCAGTTCTAGTAGGTTCCGGAAGCAGTATAGTGTAGCTGTTCGTACACTAAAATTACTTATGTCCGCCCCTATTGTCAGGCTAACCTTCAAAAAAATCCGCAAGTTTTATCCGCAAATCTGCCACCTTTTATTTTATAAAAAAGGATTATCTAAAAAAACATACTTTCAATAAAAAATAACCTCGTCCAACTTTTCCTCCAAAATAATTCCTTTTTTGATAAACTAAACAGCTAACGATTTGCGGACAAAAACTTGCGGACTTTTTCCAGAAGAGCATAAAGAAATCCCAACCTATGAAAATATCATCTAAATTTTATTGAGAAAGGTATAAAAAATGAATAAACATTTTTAAAAAATTATTAAAAGAATCAAAAAAAATTTTATACAAAAAAGAATAAATTAAAACCCAATTTTTGCACACAATAAAATCAAAAAAAAAAGTCTAAAAATAAATAAAATTCAAAAAAAATCCCTTATAAAATTCAAAAAAAAATTCTTCAACCTTTTCAAAAAACGTAACTATCAAATATTTCTCTAACTTCTTCATTATTCAAAAAATCTTCAGTTGTTTCAAATCCTCCTTCTTCCGTCTTTAATAGTAAACGACCAAAAACGTCTGCAAAAACTTCTCGTTCTTTCAGTGTAAAACGTCTGTCTTTGAATAATTTGTCATAAAGGTAATGTAGCCAATAATGATTTGTTTTGCGATGGAATGTTGACCAATCATCTCTAGAAAATTGACAAATTGAAAAAAAATTTTTTTGAAATAAAAATTTTGTTATACAGCCAAATCTCGTTCCAGGATACCCAAAATATTGGGTAAACCTCTATGTTAAGAAACGTTTTTAAAATCTTAATTGACTATTGAATGGAGGAGCTGCAAAGCTGCAAGCCCCTCATTTAAGGTGATCTCACAATAACACAGGGGCATAGCCAGGAGGCCGATCTCAGGAGGGAGGGGGCTAAAATAGGGGTGTGCGCCAAAAATTTTGGCGTTTACTTTGCGTTGCCCCTCCTAAAATTTTTTCAAAATTTTTTGATTTTCCCCATTTCAGGGAGGTGGGCTAGCTCTACTCCCTTGCTATAATATAAGAATTTTAAAGTCTTAGGGGTGCATCTTACGCATAATAAGGTTCGACTGTAAAATTTATTAATTTTTAATAAAAAATAAACAAACTCATTTAGTTCTTTCATCATTGGGTAAATTTTGAATTGGTAATCATCTCCTTCTTTATATGGTTTAACAGCAAATTTAACAAAAACAGACTGTCTTGTAACATCATCTGTCATCCGAGAATTGTTGAAATCAATTAATGAAGCATGCACGCCATGAGAACGGACTTCAATTTTTTCACCATTGTAGTAATAACTGAAAATGAAATTTCAAAATTTTCAAAAAAATTTCAAAAAAAAAACCAAATTTTATCTCGGCGTTCTCTTTCTCTAGAAGTAACTTCGCTGATTAATATATTGCTGTAATGTAGATCTCGATGCTCAAAACTATACCTTTCTTCAGCTATAGCAAGGGATAGGGCAACTTGGTAAAAAATTGAAAAACGTTGTTTTTTGGTGGCCTGGAATTAAAAAAAATAATATTCAATCTACTGGAAATCATCTCCCAATTTTTTGTACTACATCCTTAATAGGATTCATACGTACAAAATTCATATTTTACAGAGGATTAGAAGATAACTTTTGCTATAACTTTTTGATGCTTTATCGAATGCAAATGATTTCATATTCGAAAACCTTCTATAAGCTTGTATTTTTCTAATATGATAGATCAAGTCTGATCACTCATTAGGAAGTTATAAGACGATACGTTATAACTAGAGCCCGGACGGAGGGCTCGGTCTATATTTTTTTGATAAATACCGAAAAATACCGAATATCGAAAAATATCGAAAAACCCAAAATTCTCTCGGTCGATATTTTTTCGATAAATATCGAAAATATTGAAACCGAAAAATATCGAAAAAAAGTCTCGATATTTTTCGATTTTTCAAAAATTTTTCTCTAACCAACGAATAACAGAATAAACTTAATAATTTAATGAGATTAAAATTGATAAATGGGATATAGGTGGATTTGGACGTATTAAATGTAATATCAATGGAATTGTATTTGATATCGAAGGATCAAATGGGATATAAGTGGATTTTAACTAGGAATAATGGATTTTAAGGAATTAAGAGGGATATTGAAAGACTGAAGGTGTATCAAGTGATTTAGTGGTGGTAAGAGTGATATTGTAGATTTGTGAGATCAGGAGGGATATTAAGGGATTTGTGGATTAAGAGGGTTGTCGGGGTATAAAGTGATATCATAGGATAAAAATCTGGCTTTTGATATCCATCTCTCCCAAAGCTCCGTCTTGATCACTTGAGATCCATTTTATCCACTTAATCCTTTATTAGTTATCCAAATAGTAGATTAACCCGGATATCCACAATATCCGTCATGATCCTTGGATATCTCAAATATCCCACCAAATCTTCGGATATCTTTTCAAATTATTCTTAGCCCACTCTTATTACTCTTAATTTACTCTTAACACACTAAAATCTCCCTAAATATACCGAAATCTTTCTTAATTCATATGTGTTATGTAGGGATATCGAGGGAATATTATGAATTAATGGGACAGGAAAGGCTATTCTAATAATCTATGAGAATCTCGGAAGGTTAAGTTGCAAAATCCAATGGGCAAAAAGCAAAAATGCATCGTTTTTGGCGCCAAAAATTCAAATTTTGGTCAAAAATGACGTTCGATATTTTTTTCGATTTTTTGTAAATTGATCGGTCGATTGTTTCGATTTTTAAATTTATTCGGTCGATATTTTTTCGATAAATATCGAAAAATACCGAATATCGAAAAATATCGAAAAAGACAAAATTTTCTCGGTCGATATTTTTTCGATAAATATCGAAAATATTGAAACCGAAAAGAACCGAAAAATATCGAAAAAATATCGTATCGAGCCGGGTTCTAGTTATAACGATACGTAATTTGGAGAGTTTGTGGGCGTATAACAGATAAGTACCAAAAATTTTTAATCTGACAAAAAATTAAATTAGAGGTTAAATCGGGCTTTTTTTATTTAATTTTCGGAGTTAAAGTTCTAAACAGTCATAAAGATTTTATCTCTAATTTAAATTTTTTTTGAATTCCCTCATTTCATAAACATATCCCCTCTAAATCAAACAATTCCCCTCCATATATTAAAAACATCCAGTATATTACTGGAATTTAAAGTGTTCAATAAGGCCGATTTAGCGGTCTTGGTAGGAAACACTAATTTATTTTTTAAATCTTTTTTTTTGATAAACTTCTGTCTCGTTTTTTATTCTAAAAGTAATTTATTAGCTTTATTTTTTGATATTTATTTTTAGTTTGTTTATTAAAGATTAGATAAATTGAAGGAAATTATTTTAAAAATTTTTTATTTTTACTTATAGAAATTTTATGATATTATGAAAATGTCGAGGATCATATTTTAATTCAGGGCTTGAAATTACAAACTTTCTTTTTAAATCTTATTAGCCTTTTAAATTTAAGTACAGTATTTCCTAAAACAAAGCCCATGCTAAATTAGAGCCACTTCCTAAAATAGGTCCCCACTTTGGAGGATAGTTGAAAAATAGAGCCCATGGGGCTTTTAGCAAATACAGTAAAAAGGAAGATTTTGTTTAAACAAATGGATTTAATAAAGATAACCAGGCATGATTTTTGGAGAGAAAGCGCTTTGGGGATGGGAAATCTATTTTTTTGTAAATCAAAACCCTCTTATTTCAGGGACAGGAAGAGGACAACCTGACATAACTTAGGCCAGAATTTTTTGTGTTTTAAATATATTTACATTTCTAACTTCGGTAATATTCAATATCCTCAAAAGTTGTGCCTCAAAATTTAATTTTTAAATAAAATTAGGTATTCTTACTACAATCAGAAAAACTTTAAAAAATTAAAATTTCTAAATTTTTATCGTATGTTGTAGATCTCAGAGAAATTATAGATAAAATTTTGAAATAAATATTCAATAGTGCACGAGTTTGAACTTAATTTTTTTTGTAGAGTCCAAACTCGCGCTTTATCGATAAGAATTTGTAAATATATGAACATCTAACAGTCAAATTTTAAATTTCCGACAAATTAAAGATTAGTTTAAAATTTGTCGGCGAGACTTAAATATACATGTATATTATGTATATATATACACATACACAAATTCATTGCGCGAGCGGTTTTTCAATAAATTCCACACTGTATTTAGACGCCCCACATTAAACATGTTGCCCATTCATTAATATTCTCTTTTAAAATATATAAAATTTTGAATAATTTTAAAATTTTTGGGGAGTATTAGTCGTTAAAATATAAATAAGAATTGGGGATATAAAATAATATTTTTAAAAATTTACAAAATTTTTGGAGGTTATTTTCGTTTATAATCATAAATTAGGATTATTGCAGCTATTTTGCTAAATCCTTAGCAGAACTAGGTTAAGACTAAAAATTATCAGGCTTCGTGAGTAAAATATAGGATTAAGCAATTCCCAAGCAGTACATTATTTTCTAAAATTATTTTAAAAACTTTTTGGGATTGGATGTGTTTTAGACTATAAACAAAAATATTTAAAATAACGTTTTAAATATTTTCAGATGAAAGCATTCATTTTGCTTTTCCTCTTGTTTTTTGTGATAGAACAAACTTTATTAATGGATGAATGGCAACAGCAGCATCCAAGAGATTGTTTGTATATTTAAATAAATCATATTTATTAAATGATCAAATAAACAAAAAATTTAATAAATATTTAATTATTAAATGAAAGTTTTGTCAGTTTTTTCATATAGAATCCACATTTTCACTTTCTCAACCAGAAAAATTTGTTTCTGAGCATGCGCCATTGTGTCTAGTTTGATTGTTTGGTTAATTTTAGGCTGATTTTGGCATGTGGCATGCTTTCCTCTATCCTTTAGGCAACTGACTATTTTTGCTTGATAGGTCTGGCACAACTTAAATTCGTTGTTTTCAGTTTTTATGACGGAGACAAAACTTTTAGTTCTAAAGAATAAGCCTACTGATACAATTGGACACAAAAATGTATAAAAAATCAGAATATTTATAAAACTAGCCAGAAATTGGACCCTGGCCGGATTCGGGTTTTCCTTGTAAGATTCACGACAGTCAATAAACTAATTCAGAAAATAATTCATTAAAATTTAAAGCTCGTGGGCATGCTAGCCGAAAAGGAAAGGAAAAGGCTGATGGAAGTTCTTCAACACCAGCAGCCTCCTTTGATGAAAATAATTTTTCTCTTATTGAATTGTCCCTTTTACTTCGGACATTTAATAAAATTGAAATTGAAGAAATGAAATTAGACGGGCCAACAACAAATTTACATAAAACTATTAGTGAACGTGGAAACAAAAGAATTTCTACTTTAATTCCAAACATTCCAAAGATTTTCAAATCCGAATCGTTTAAAATAACATCAGAAAAATTAGAGAAGGTTTATTTTTAAAATAAAAATAAATTTTATTTTTATAAAGATTATTGAATATTATAATGGAAAATTTGATAGAAAATTTGAGGACTCGATTGATTCTTGTACGTTTTATTGACCACGCTCTTTCCTTTCCTTTCTCAATATTTATAGTTGACTGGGGAGCAGGGGTGTTCGCAATCTGAAAAAAATTTTCCGTAGCCGCAATCCGTAACCCTCAATTTTAATTTTGAAATCCGCAAACGCAATCCGCAAATCAAAAAACACGCAAATGCACGCAATCCGAATAAGCAACGCGCAATTTGGGGATATAGGGGATAATCTGAGGAACTAAGGTGGATAGAGGTATTAACGGTGGTTTTGAGTGATATCATTGATCTGGAAGTATATAGAAATCAGGGATACTTCGGCAAATCAGGTTGCTAGATCACTGATAAACAGATTTTTTCTTTGATATCAACTAATCCCGAGATAACAGTGATATCCCGTCCACCGATATCCATCATAGTCCAAATAGCTGGATTAAAAGATGATGTACTTATTATGAGAAATTTTGAGAATTTTAGAAGGCCAAGGAACCAGACTACTTCGTTTTTTACCGCCGGAGGCGAAAATTTTGAGAAAATCAAAGAAGCCAGAATTTTTAATTTTTTGGTTGGTGTGATGCGAATAATTGCGTGAAAATTGCGTAAAAATTTCAAAAATCCGCAATCCCCAACCCGCAATTTTTATTTTATCCGCAATTGCGGACACACCTGCTGAAGAGAAATAGTAAAATA